TTCATTAACAGAGCCTAGAGACTAGAGACTAAACAGTGGTGACATGAGAGGTCTGAAAAGTCCTGCCTCCCCCAAAATCTTTCTCCCACCAGCCTGAAACTTCCACCATTACAGTTATAGTCATGGATTAGTTTGAAACAACAGAGGTCAGAATATCATCTGGAAGAGGACTCAGTTAAAATGAGTCTTCTCCCAGTGGTACAAAGATATATATACTCTGGGGCCTGAGGAAATGGAAGAAGTTGCTGTGTAGGATGATGATGATGATGATGATGATGATGGATAACAACATTTATATAGTGCTTTAAAGTTTACAAAGTGCTTTGCAAATATTATCTTATTTTATCTTCACAATACCCCCAAGAGGTAGATGCTTAAATTATCTCAATTTTATTCAATGAGAAACCTGAGTAGAGAGAGGTTAAGTAATTTGCCAAAGGTCTCACAGCTAGTAAGTGACTGAGGTAGGATCTGAACACAGGTCTTTCTGAATTCAAGTCCAAGTCTATCCTAGTGTTACACTATCTGAAAGAAAAGGAGAGGGTTGGCTTTGGACTGTAATAGAACAGCAGAGAGAGCCCTGCACCATTGAGGGCAGGCCTGAGGTGATAATCACCGAAGGGAAGAGACAATGAGTCTATTTCATTGTACAGGGCCTGGGTTGGAAAGTCTTGTCCTCTTACCTATTCACTCAGGTCTACATTGGAGGTGCTAAGAAGATGAAAACAATGGTAAGGACCTCAGAATCCTAGAATCTTGGAATTACAAAAAATCTCAAAAGTCATATAGTCCAGTCCATAGTAGAAGCCATCTCAGTTCCTGTGACAAAAGCCACAACCAAAAAGAAGAATTTTTCAATATTTGCAGCTAAAAGAAAGCTTATAGGTCATCTGGTCTTGTTTCATTACTTTACAATCAAATAAACTAAACCCCAGATGAAATTACTTGACCTAGGTCACACAGCTAATTGATAACAGAGCCAAGGACATAATCCAACTCTACTGACTCCCAATGGAGTACTTTTTCCTTTACCATTACATTACCTTTGGAGGAAAAGGACCCAAGAGAGTGGGAATGAATGGGGATAGAAGGTGGGGAGGGGGAAACCTAGGGGTATCTGTTTGTTTCACATTGAGCCCCAGGTAACAAAGCCAAAGAGGAGAAAGCACTATTAACTGAAAGAAATTTTCCAATGGGTCCAGATTCAGACTTCCAGAATTTCTAGGATGAACCTGTGGAATGCTAAGCATCTAGTGAGGGCACCATTCCTGGCCATTCCAGGAAGTTAGTTGACCACCCACTGGTCTCTAGTGGAACTTAGATTGCATTTGGAGCTGTCATTCCTAGACAATATCCTAATACTTCATGTGATCATCATAAAAGTTAATAATACATTTTCACTTGTACAGTGTTTTTTCCTCTGCCAAAGTGCTTTCACGTATAATGTCTCATTTTCTCCTCCCAGCAACACTGTGAATCATAAATGACATGGAAACCATGAGTTCCTGGCCTTTTCATGCTGCACCATTTCTTATAAACCAATTTCTTACCCTTTGAAAATTTCAGGTAAGCTTGGCCTCTGGAGAGTGATGCAGTAAGGAAACCAATTCTATGAAAGAATGCAAAAAAATTCCATGTGCAGTTTGACACACACCTTGGACTCGTCTGCATCCCATGGATGGGGTAATGCCTTTTCATATCCTGGAAGGAAATGAGCAGAGGCCTTGGTAAACTAGGAGATGACAAGCATTGCCTCCATGTTGGAGGGTTGAAAAATATGATCTGGCTGAGTCATTGGCAAAAGGGGGAAACCAAATATGATTGCCCAAATAAATCTAAGTCTGAGATATTCCTACATTTGTGGGAATGTCCCTGAGTAGTAGAGACTTTAGAAACATTGTGTATCAATCAGATCTAGACAGCACTTTAAAGAACATCTCATCTAGTTGGACCTCCTTATTTCTACAGATGAGGAAGCCAAGTTTCAGACAGAAGTAACTTACCCTAGATCACTCTGATAGTAATGGAACTTAGAATACAAACCCAGACCTTATGCTTCTCAATCTTGCCCCATATCACATGACCTCAATTCTCAATCCTCCATCTAGACCAGTTCCCTTCTATGTCCCCTGGTAATGAGATATATGTGCAAGGGATATCAGGCTCACCTCACCTTTATCTCAATGGGTCATGGTCAGGGAGCTAGAACTTTGATGTTCTTCTGTACATTTGGCCCTGTGCTCTGCCTATTAGAGTTAGTTTGGTATAGAAACAAGAGGACTATTAAGTCCTATGAATCTTGGGCCTGGGTTCTGGTCCGAGTTCTGGCACTTACTTAGCTGTGTGGTTTGGGGCAAATCAATTCATCTCTCTGGTCTTCATTCTGCTCACCTGTAAAATATGAGAATTGGACCTGATGGCCTCATAAGTGCCTGAAGATGGATTTGAACCCAGATCTACCTGCTTCCAAGTCCAGGGCCCTATCCACTAAGTGGATTGATGCCCTCTAAGACCTCTAGGCCTCAGACTCTAAGATTCATAATCGATATGATACTCTATGATCATAGAGGCAAAGCTTAGATTTGGATGTAGAACATCTAACCCCAGATCTACTATTCTTTCCTCTATTATGAAATCTATGAGGATGCCTGTAGCCTCAGTCTGCCCTGATCCATGGGCCAAAACATGTAGCTTTCTGAGAGGTATACATCTTCACTCAGTGCTATTAGTGGGACATGAGGTTACCTGAGATCAAGGTAAGAGTTGATATTCTCACCTCCACTTTGACTTTCTAGGGCTCTAAGGCAGCTAAGTGGCCTAGTGGATAGATCAATGGGCCTGGAGTCAAAAAGACCTGAGTTTAAATACAGCCAGACACTTACTAGCTGAGTGACCTTAGGCAAGTCACTTAACCTCTGTTTGTTTCAGTTACCTCAAATGCAAAATGAGGGTAGTTAGAGTACCTAACTCAAAGGATTGAAAAGTGAATGCTCATTCCTTTCTCTCCCCTCCCCTCTAAAACTTCCTTCCTTTGCATAGTCGCTTGGAGCTAGTAACTGATGATTTCTCCTCTGTCCATTTACTCTGTAAGCTTTCCAGGAGCTTTCCTCAATTTCCAGATCCAGGTCTGACACTAGGGGTATTGGGAAGAAAACAAGGTTTTGTTTCCATGCCCCTTTACCCTCTTTGGTTAACTATAGGCTCGGAAACCTCCTAGGTGAGAATACTCTGATAAATTAATTCACATTAATATGTTAATGCTAGATTTTTTTTGTTATTCTTCCCACAAAATAGTTATAAACAGAAGTTCCCTTTGTTATATAAAAGGAAATGTTGGGAATTTCAGTCAAAGGATATAGCCAGGAATAGGATGCATTGTTGATCAAGAGAGATATTTCACCACACCCCCAAGTTACTGGAGTCAGTAGGTAAACTTTTCCCCTTACCACGTAGTAATAGTTTAGAGTGGAAAAAACTCTTAGGTATCACCTAGACCAAACCCCTCATTTTATAAATAAGGAAATTGAGGCACAGGGAGAAAAAGTTAATTGCCCAAACTCATACAAGTAAGTAGTAGAGCCGTGAGTCAAACTTCTAATTTCAAAGCATATGTCCTTTCCGCCATAATGTGCTGCCTCTTAAAAGTACTTATCTGGTAGAATCCTTACTAGGGATACCTCAAGCCCAGATCTTTCTGACTTCCTGGCTAGTTCTCTATCAGCTGTACCAAACTGTCTCTTTTTATATCTGCAAAATATCCCCATTTTACAGATGAGGAAATTAGAGTTCAAAGAGTAGTTTGCTAAAGGTCATATGGTAAGTTAAAAACTGGCACATCTAGTAGTTAAAATCTCTGACTCCAAGTCCAATTGAGTCTTTTCATTACATCATAGTGTGTTTCAGTCATTCTTATAACACACAGCCACAGGAAAGAAAAAGGGGAGGCCATAGTGTTATGTACCCTTCTCCTCCCTGCCCCTTCACAACCCCTCATTATGAACATATATTTTGCCACCACCATCCTGTGACAGATGAAGAAACTGAGACTGAAGGGAAGGAGAAGGGCAAGAAACTCTTCGGGGCATTTTCAGGATGAACAGTCTTGGCCATGGGTTTCTCCTGCCTGTTGCCAAGCCTGCTGTTCAAAGTTAACTTGGAATCTATCCCAGTTTCAAACCTGGCTCTGCCCAGAAGCCAGACCAGTCCTATCTTCCACAGACCCTTCTGTACTAGCCATCCTGGCAACCAGGACATGCATTCTTCCCACCAAGAAAGACCCAAGAGACCTGGAGTAGAAAAAGAAACATGATTTGCTAGGAATGTGTCTAAAGGCTTGTTCTTTTGTAGGGTTGCTTGTCAGACTAATGGGTCTCAGATTATTTACTGACTCTGGGAGAAGCATAATTTTATAGGAACAGAGTTTTCTTTTGGTGCTGGCTTCTGTGTGCACAGGGCCGTGTATGCCAATGTGTGTGTGTGTGTGTGTGTGTGTGTGTGTGTGTGTGTGTTTCATAAATGCATGTGTGTGTGAAGGGGAGTCAATATCTCTCTCTCTGTCTCTCTCTCTCTGTCTCTCTCTCTCTCCTTTTATCCCTCTCTCTCTCCCCTCTGCCTCCCCCATCCCCCTCGCCTACCTCTGTGCGTCTCCCCAGTCCTTATTTGGCTGGACGGGAGGGCTGGCGGGAGCCAGGCCGCCAGGGAGCTAGGGGGGCAGGGCCGAGAAGGGAGGGTGGGTGGTGCTGAAGGGACAGCTCCGACGCGGCCGCGGCGGCAGCCACAGACAGATCGCCGAGCCCAGCAGTGGAGGAGCCACTGGTCCCTTCAGCGCTGGAGAAGCCTAGCGCAGCCATGCCCCAGGCCGCCTACGGGGCAGCGGCAGCAGCAGCAGCAGCAGCGGCAGCGGTGGTGGTGGCGGCGGCGGCGGCGGCGGCGGCGGCGGTGGCTGGAGCCGGGGGAGCCCGGCGAGGCCAGGGCTCTAGGTCCGCTGCTCGGGCGGGACGATGAAGCGGCAGAACGTGCGCACGCTGGCGCTGATCGTCTGCACCTTCACCTACCTGCTGGTGGGCGCCGCTGTGTTCGACGCGCTCGAGTCGGAGCCCGAAACCACGGACCGGCAACGGCTGGAGCGAAAGCAGCTGGAGCTCCGGGCGCGCTACAACCTCAGTCAGGGCGGCTACGAGGAGCTGGAACGCGTGGTCCTGCTGCTCAAGCCACACAAGGCCGGCGTGCAGTGGCGCTTTGCGGGTTCCTTCTACTTCGCCATCACCGTCATCACCACCATCGGTAACCCAGCCGGGAGGGGACGGGGCGGAGTGGGACGGGGCCCCAGGGGAGCGGTCGGCCACGGACACCGAGGGGAGGGAGGAAAGACCGGAGAGCTAGCCTCTGGGGAGTGGAGAGAGGAAAGGAGAGAGGGCCCAAGGGACGGGAACGGTGAGCTAGGCTGAGGACTTTGGGGTCATGGGTTGCTAAAGAACAGAGAGAACAAGGAACGGGGAGAGGTGGCGCCGAGGGCAAGAGCATATGTAGGCACTGAGTGCCGAGGTGAGAAGAGGCAAAAAAGCGGGACCACTGTGGTAGTTCAATTCTTTCTGGACGCAGGGAGCCTCTAGTTCCAGGCAGGGAGAGCTGAGAGTCCCTCCCTCAACAGCCGCCTCTGCATAGACTGAGACCCTTCCCTTTTAGCGCACTCGTAGTTTACCAGTCTGCTCTCAGGGAGTCCTGCCTACTGGGAGAGCAAAAAGCAAAACGGGGACGACTTTCCCTCGTCTGGAGGGAGCAGGGCAAGACTTTCCTGCTCCTGGGCTCTGAGCTCTGCTGGAGGACTTCATGAGCCTCACTTTTCGACCTCCCTGAACTTGGCTCAGGCCCTCCAAGGGAGTTCATGAGGCCCGGAATTGGGGTTGCAGAAAAGAGAAAAACTGTCTCTGTGTTTGAGAAAGACACTATCCCAGTGTATGTACCACCGTTAGGGGGTGTGAGTGAAAGTGAGCGTGTTAGAGTGTGACTGTACGGTTGTTTCTCTATATGTTACTCTCTGTGTGTGTGTGTGTGTGTGTGTGTGTGTGTGTGTGTGTTGGGAGCTGGGGGTGAACGTGGGTTTCATTTATTTATTGCTACGGAAGGTGTGTGAATGTCGGAGCTGTAACTAAAAAAGCAAAGTGACAGGTTTTCCTGTAAGGCTTTTGAAATCTTAGACATGGCACCCAGCGCATCTGGAAGAATAAGGGACTGCGTGGGACTCTGTATGTGCTAAAGGATGTGTAACTGTATATGTATTAGTGTGTGCATGTGTGTGAAAGGGAAATGGGTGTGTAATTTTTTTTAAATCTCTCTTGGGACTGACAGCCTGGAGCTGGAATTCCCAACCCAGGTCTACTCTCCTTTCCTTCCTGCTGTCCCAGAAGAGAATCACCTTGTAAGAATGATTAGAATTCTCCCCTTCTCAGCTAGTGAAGACTGACAGACCCACACCCACAGTCATTCCTCCCTTAGGGAGGCTGGTTCCAGGAAAATGTTCTTAAACAGGACCAAGCCTGCAGGATAGTGCAGGGGACTGTGGAGAGAGAGAAGGGAGTTTTCTCCATGGCAGAAAGGCTCTCTGAGGAACACACACCTTCCCACTGCATGCTCAGCCTTTTGCCGGCCTTTCAGCTCCCTTCTTCACATCTTAAAGGAAGAGTTTATGCTCCAGTGTAACATCCAGGGGGAACCAGGCTGCAGAAAATAACCCCTGCCCCTCCTCTTTCTCATAAATCCTCCAGTTACTTCCCAGGAGCTAAGAACCTCTGGTGAACCTCTGGTTCTCCTTCCATCACCCTCATTCTCACCTTTTCTTACAGATCCCTTACCTTGACAGATGTTGATCTCCCACCAACTCTCATATCCCATTTCCCAGGTTTGGACTGGGGAGGGGGGTTGAGGTATTTTCCTTGGAATCAAAGAGAAGGAGTAGTGTAATATGATGGGTAATTAGTAGGACTCAGAGGCTGATCACTGGTCTGTTTTCTGTGCTCAGCTGAGCTCCTGGCCTGCTGAGGAACCACAGGCAAGTCCTGGTACCCCAGTATTTATCCCTGCATAATGGGAGCCAGTAGTCCTGATTTGTGGGGGGAGGTTGCTCCTTTCTGAAGACTAGGGATATCTCATCAGGAGCCAATGTAGTCATATGAGAAATAAATCTCATTCTACAGTTACAGCTGGATACTGTGGGATAGGTTAAGATGACTGGACCATGGATTATTTGGGGGAAGGCCACCTCCATCAGAACTGAAGTAACCAGGTTGGTCTAGGCCTCCATCTTTTTATTATTTTCCTTCTTCCTAAGCCTGCCTATGTCCACCTAGCCAACTGGTTCTAGGGATCCAGTTAAAGGTCTTTGAATCACCTCCAGATATAATCAGTTACTACATCCATTCTTCTTTTGAAGTGTCTCTTATACTCCCCTCAACCCCCTATTTTTTTATTACCACTGTTCCTAACTTAGTCTAGCCTTCAATTCCCTCACATCTATACTGCAGCAGTAGTTTCTTAGCAGATCTCCCTGGCTCCAATATCCCTCCCTCTGCCTTCCAATCCATCCTGCATATGGCTGCCAGATTAATCTTTCTAAAGCACCACTCCCCTGTTCAGAATCCTTCAGTGGCTTCCCACTGTCTACTGACAATGAAGTTTTAACTCCTTATCCTGGCACTCAAGATCTTCTGCTATCTGACCCAGGCCAATGCTGTGAAGCTGTTTTCTCTTACTCTGCTTCAGAAATCCTCCATTCTAGTCTACTTAATGCTTGCCCAAATGGTCATGCAAATTCCCAGCCTACTGTCCCCAGTTCATATTGATTCCTATGCCTGATGTCTCCTTCTTTCCTCTGTGCATCTCTAAGTCTTATTCTACTTTGGAGGCCCAGATCAACCTCAGATCTTCCAGGAAGCCTTCCCACCCTCCTCTCCAACTCACTGGGATCACCTCTTCTAGATTGCTACAGCCTGTACCAGATAAACTACATTGTTTCATTTTAATTTAACAAATATTTATTAAGTAATTACTATGTACAAGACACTGCGCTGGAGGTAGGAAGGCACACACACACACACACACACACACACACACACACACACACACACACACACACACACAC